CTTGGTTTCGTACTCTTTGAGCTTTGTTTTACTTGTGTTGTTAATGACGTTTAGATACTGCTCGTCCGCCTTACAATAGGACTTCTAGGCTCGTCCACCTTACAATTCTAAATTTAGGCTCGTCCGCCTTATAATACGACATTTAGGCTCGTCCGCCTAACTGTGCGACATCTAGGCTTGTCCGCCTTACAATGAGACATCTAGGCTCGTTCGCCTTACAATGCGACATTTAGGCTCATCCGCCTTACAATGCGATATTTATGCCCGTCCGCCTTAAAAGGACAGTTAGACTTGTCCATCTTACAGGACATTTAGTTCGTCCGCCATAAAAGGGACATTTAGTTTCGTCCGCCATAAAAGGACATTAAGGTCGTCCGCCTTAAATGACATTTAGGCTCGTCCGCCATATAGGAAATTCATGTTCGTCCCCTTTATAAGATATTTAGGCCGTCCGCCTTAAAATTACACTTAGGCTCGTCCGCCTAAAAATGATGTTTAGACTCCTCTTCCTTGCAACAGGATGCTTATGTACATCCACCTTACAACCAGACCTTCCCGTCTATATTATCATATCGCTATATTATCAGATATATTAGAGACTGACCTTATTCTTCAGAGATGTTCCTCAATCCTTCAATAAATAAAGCCAAAGACAGTCAAGGTTTACACTACGTCTCAAAACAGATACGCTTCTTATCACCTCTTGTCATTTATTTAGAACTCATATTTTATCATTGTTGGTCATACTTTCTATTTATAAGTTTACATTTTGTCTAGAATTTGCAGATATGATCGATCACCCCTTGATTACAATTATCATGCTATCATCTATCGCAACGAAGACCCTATCAATTCTTTGTTACTCATACTACGAACCTTGCTCAAAGGCTAATAACCTCACTCTATCATACTCTTCTCTCTTCTATGTGATGCACTTTTAGCGTCTCAATATATCGCTTCTCGCTACTCTAATCTTATCCATTCAAGCGGATATCGTGCCATCCGAATACCTTAGCGCTCGTTCAACTTTTAAGAGTTTCATTTGCTCTTGAATCTAGAACGACACACGACCTAATTCTCGTATAATCAGATATATGTACGCGACCTAAAACCAAAGTCTCGATCATACCCTTTTTCAACTCAACATCGCTTCAATTGATCCTACTGACATATGTTGTTGGTCAGAAAAACTTGGCTACTAAGTAAACGTTGGTTGCCTGACAATTCATTCTTCATTCTCAATCAACCAAGGGGTAGTTGTTGACACCCAATTTTGACCGACCTTTAACCATTTTTAGGAATACTATTCGATCAAATATTTATTTTAAAATTTATTTAAAGTTTAAAATTTCAGTCGATTTTGCATGGAAATAATATATTTTAGTTGTTTACTCTAATAAAACTATTGTATTTCAATCATAGCCCCCTTGCATTTCAATTCTAGCCAATTTCATTACATTTTTGGTCATTCCATATTTAATCCAATTTGATTTTAAGAATTTATCTTTTTACTTCAACCATCCATTTTTCAGTTAAGTCCCAGATCAAATCTTAGTCGCTCATCTAAACTAATCCTACGGTCAGGATTTAACCTCCTATTCTTCCTAATTTCTAATACCCTAAAAGACAAAACCTAAAAAAACATTCATCCTCTTCCCTCTTCCTCTCAAGCTGCCGCCAGACTCTCCCTCTCCTTGATTTTTCTGGAGAGGGAGGCAGGCGGACAGAAACACCAAGTAGCGCCACTTCTCCTCTCTCTCCCTTCCTCCCCTTCCCGTCACTTCCTCCCCCTCTCTTCTTCTCCCCTCTCCCGTCTTTTTCCCTCTTCCCGTCTCCTCTACTCTTCCTCCCACTCTCCGCCTCATACTTCTCTTCTCCCTCTCGCCCCTCTTGTTATCTCCCTCCGCCTGTCGTTCATCTTTTTTTTTAACAACCAGGAGTAGCAGAAGCAGAACTACAGCAGCAGACGGCAGCTCCAGCCACTAGTCGCCCAAATCCAACAGCCACCGGCAGCCGTCCCTCTCCCCTTCTCCCGTCGCTCCTCCTCCCTTGTCTCTCCCCACCTGAACGCCCTCTCTCCCTCTCGTCTTCCTCTTCTCCCCTTCCCCTACGTTTTCCCCCGGTCCTCCCCTTCTTCTTCTCCTTGTCTATTTTGCAGGAACAACATCAACTGCAGGCGAAGACCAGGCGCAGCAGTTTGCTGGAGAGGACCAGGCGTCGCCGCCCCTTTCTCTTGTGTTTTTGTCTTTTGCAGGTAATAGCAGCTTCCAGCCACTCCGGCCAGTGTGAAAAGAAACCAAGCAACTCTGGCGAAAACGTATAACGGATCTCGACTAATATCTTAAAGATTTTGAGCTTGATAAAGACGGATCTTAACAGATCCTTCCATGCAAGTTAATTGATTCTATACCCTCTACTTCAACTCTTTATTCTTTTTAAGCTATGGTGGATGATTATGCAAGCATCATATGATATTATTATAGTCTTTTATCTATTTTAAATTGTATGATTATCGTGTCAATTTCTTAAATATGTTTGAGTTGTTATCTAAATTGCCATAAACTAGTGATTACTCTGTACTTTTGTATGCTTGCATTTTTTTCTGATACTGTGATGAATTAGTAAGTATGTGAATTTTGCCCTCTAATTAGTCCGTTTATTAATTTTATATGATCTCTTTAATCTTATACCTGACTCCCTTTTTTTTGTTATTAGTGAATATTTGTATAAGGATTGAATATTACAACTGGTGCATATCTTTCTTTGCTTATGAACTTGAGATATTTATATATAATATTAGCTTGTCTGTTACCTTAAATTATTTTCTTTACTATGAGCATATTGTAGTATATTTTTGACTTTCCTATTCATGTTAAAATTATTGATTTAGCCGTTTGTGAATATTTATTAATTCATCATTTGTCCTTATTTGTTGTCCCTTGGCTTTATTAAAATCAAAATAGACTCTTATATGATTCTTCTTTTTTAAGCCTATATTCGATTTAGGTAAAATTAAAAATAAAAAATGGTGTAATAATTTTACTTTTATATGGATAATATTAATTAATCTTTGTTTCCTCAATTAAAATTAACATATTTCTTACTTGTTTTTAGATTTGGCAAAGAATAATTTAAAATAATTTTGTTTTGGGCTCTTACTTATTTTAGGTAAAAGAATATTGTCTTTCTAACTTTATTATTACTTATTTATTTTTGGTAATGAAACATTTTAAATATTTTCTGATTTTGGCTTCTCTTTATTTAAGGAAAATATATATTACTCTTCCTAATTGTTCTTACTTGCTTATATTTGGTAATGATATTTTTTGAATTTTGAATCTCCTTTTTGAATAAGGAAGATAGTATATTTATTTAATTCCTTAATTTATTATTTTCCTTATTTGCTTCCCTCTTTGCTATATAAGTAGACTCTTTTCTCATTCATTGAGACACTAACTCTTGCTACAATTTCTCTCATTCTTTCATTGTTCATACACGCATTCATTCTCTCAACTCATCACTCATTCTTATAATACAAGTTGATAATCTTTTTTGCAGAATTTGTTAATCCTCTTTATTAATTTTGATTTGATTTTTTGCATAATTATAATACTTGTGTGTTGAGAAACGAAACAAGGAAGCATCCAAGTTAGTTTCATTATTCTTTTACGTTTGATAATATAACTATGGTTATTCTTTATATCTTTTTGTATATTATTTACATATATATGAGAGTAATTTTTTACTTTGAGCATTCTATATTACAACTATTTCCTCATCGTATATGTATTATATTACCTCTTCTTCCAGGTTTTAAACTGAGAGTTCAAGATGTTGAAGATTTGCCTAAAATAAATTGTGGACGTCTCGTTCATTTTATTATATCTATGTTTATTGTTCTTTATTTTTAATTGTAATGGTCTTACAACTCCTTAACTCTCTATATATAAAATAAAATATTTTGGGGGGATCACCTAAGGGAAGGGGATTTACATGCTACTTGTTTACCGTAATTCTCAAAGTTAGAAATCAAGCCTATAGGTAATATGTGATTTGAAATCTTTTAACCACCTAGAATTCTTATTTATAGGTGTTCTAATCTAACCAATTTTCAACCTGCTTAGCGCTTTGTTTGATAATGAGTTTCAAAATAACTAGTTCCAATAATTTTTTAATGTTAAAATCAAATCTTAATAATTTAGTAGGCTCGTCGGTTAGATGTTAAAATATGTCATAACTTTTCAGCATTGTCTTATTGCGTAGAAATCATCCCTAAGGATTAAAATATTTTTTTGGTCATATCACTTGGAGTTAAAAAATCATGGTTATATGTGTTGCTCCGTTCTGAACACCTAGAAATCATGTTTATATGTTTATTACCACTAGGTTGAAGGTTCCACTAGAAGGACCTTCTTAGCAATACTCAAGGTCTGATGTCATTCATACATGCAAGACTAAGATGCTTTAGCATACTAAGTCAATACATCTCATATTCACAGTCATGCATATATCAAGTAAGGGACACAATTTACCACACAAGACACACCTAGACCTCATTTTATCACATATAACATATCATTATATAAGAACATATGAATAACCATTATCATCTATAAGTCACCCTATACACTACTCTAACATCAGAAATATAACCATCATAGACTCATATACTCAAGTAGGAAGAATCATGCATCAACTCTAAGACTACACACATAAAGACATAGTTATAGTCTAACATTATCACCTAACAACCTCAATAGAAGAATACATACTTTCACATTACTCAAACGTATATAGATATGATCATAATTCACATAAATAAACTACAAAGATCATCATAATACATCATGTAGTGCCCACAAGGCCATGCTCATCATAATACATAAAGTAACGCCGATAGGCCACATTATTCACAAGTAAAGCACATAGAACCACCACCATAAGTGGACCATACCAATCACAATATAATTCAATAGATACATTACATAATATAAAGAGAATTAGGGCAGAGTACCACCAATCCATTCTCATTACTTCATCCATAGGTAACTCATCCAATTCAATACTAAAAGGCCCTTACCCATGGCCATGATCATCAATCCAATACAAAATCCATAATACTCCATGAATATAAGTCAATTCAATATAGATTTATCAATCTAAGACAGCCTATACATCAACTGAATACAATTCTTTCATCATTCAGTATCCCATAGAAAACTACACAAGAATTCACAAAAGCATTAAGACAATATCAAGTCAACCTTAAAGTAGAGAAAACTAGGGATCATGAATTACATGGGTTCATAGGTTAATTATGTTAAAATCATATAATTAACAACAATTTAATAAATATACAATGATTTAAAGCCTTTAATGCACAAACCCAAGGATATATGTTAAAATTGGACAAGTTCATCTTTAGAAAACTTTAGAAATCTCTTTGAATTTTGGGCTCCTTTATGAATAGAGTTTCATGGATTAAAAACCATACCTCAATGAAGATAAACTACGAAATTTATTAGAATAACCAATCAAATCTTCAATCCAAGATCTTCCTTGAGTTTTAGCTTCAATGTAGTTCTTGAGAATTGGGATTTTGATTTTTGAAGAATGAGTTCATCTTGGTAATTAGGACTTATAAACCCGCTTAAAATACCTAATACCCTTAGTAAACCTCCCAAACTCTTATTTGGCGTAGGGTGAATTTACCAATTCACCATTGACGAAGCTCACCGACGGGGCATCAAACGGTAAATGGACCGTCCTGGCTGGCTGTCATTTTGCACTGAGACTGTCCATTGGGAGCTTGAGCTCCCTGGCTACGTTTTGACGGACGCCTTCCAATGACGGGGATACTAGCCTACAGGTCGTTGATCGCCTTAGTCGATTGGGGCTGGTCTTGACAGCCTTTGGATCAAAGACGTGTCCTTCCTCAAGGACCCTTGGTTGGTTTTTGGGGATGTTTTCCGGGATATTTCCAAACCAAATATGATTGTATACGAGCTAGGACCCCTCACATCAATTTCATCAAAAAAAGAACACATAAAACTCGACCAAACATGTTGAGACGCACAAGTCGTTTTAAGGCAAACCTTTCGAATGTCATGGATGTTTGACCTCCAAACTTCATGAAACTCCACACACCGCCTATAACATTATAATAACTCATATAAGGATCTTTTAAGCTCATTAAACACTCATAAACACATAAAACACACATGAGGCACGTAAGTGACTAGTAGTCGAACGTCTTGGTCGTCCCTTGATGTTTGACTTTCAATTCACCTAATACTTTAGACACTACCTCATTACCACATTATAAACCATTTTAGGACCTTACCCTCATGATAAAACATATTAGACTATATTTTCTCCTAGGTCGTTTAAGAGGTATAACAATCTCCCCCACTTGGACAATATTCATCCACGAATGACACTTGTCACTCTACGAACACTTCCAAGAGATTCAACTAGAAACTCATAACCATACCATAAAACACATTATACAATACAAACAACTATAAGAAATATCAATTTGACATAATTAGGTGATTCACAACACAACAAGAAGCTAAAAGAAATTATACAACTCATTATGCCATAAGACTCACATTCTTCATTCCAAATAGCACAAAATCCTTTTATATTCACCATCATGTTCATATACTTTAGTTCTAACCACATTACAACAATTTTCAACCAAAGAATGATTTAGTTAATTTCTCAAAAATGTTACAGTGAACTGGTAGCTTTACAGTGAATTATGGCACATTATTCAAAAATGCAAATTTTAGGTAATTGATTATCGAAACATGCTAATATGAAAGATAAAACCATATAAACACATCTTACAACATAATAGTAACATCATGAAATGCACAATGCTAGGAATCACTGCAAATTCAATTCCAACAAGACACCTAAACATTATGCACATACAACATTCTTCTATAACAATCTAGCCCATCTACTAACTATAGTCCCCCACATAGAAGGAACTCATAACCCTAAAGAAATACAAGAACTTACCATCATCATCACCCTCATCCGGCTTTGCTCCTTTAGTCCGTAGTGCATAGAAACGATTCTTCTTTGGAGCATCACCTTTCGGAGCATTAGGACCAACTTGCTTACAATTTCTAGTAGGACAAACCCTCACTTTGTGTCAATCTTTACCACATCCAAAACCACCCGCGGTACCCAATAGGCATTCCCCATAGTGCCTCTTTCTACAAGTAGCACATGTAGGCTTGCCATTTTAAGAATCACCTATCTTTTCAAATTTCACCTTAGCACTCCTAGGTTTATCTTGAGTTGAAACCTTCTTCTTGAACCTAGGTTGACTTTGATCACTTGAACCACTTCTTTACAAGTTTCTAGTAATCCTACCATGTTTAGACTCCTCAATTGATTGAGTATAAACCATGAGTCTAGATAGGGTCATATCATCATACAACATGGCTGTACGACATTATTCTATCACTAGGTCGGCGACCCCCGATCACAATCCTACTCATCTCATCGCTAGGGTTAGACACTAAGGATGGAGCATATCTAGATTGTCGCACTCTATTTTCGAACAAGTCGAAAACAGTTCACAACATAAAATGACTGACACTCTGACTTTTGAAAAATTGTTTGTTTTAGAGTCGACACCTAAATTTTGAGGAAAATATTAGGAAAACCATTTTTTATATAAATGTAAACTCTGTTTTTTATTTGAAAAACCAGTGAGATTCTGAGTAAGGGTTTTGGTTACTCGTGGGGAAGGTGTTAAGCACCCCTCAGCGCCTATTTGAAGATAGTCCTTAAACTCAATTTAGGAAAATATAATAAGGAAAACTTTTTATTCGCTTTAAAATGAATTGTGAGTAAATTTTATTAGTTTTAGGAAAAGAGTAAAACATAAGGTACGACATATAGAAGTCCATTATAGAAAATAATATTAGTATGTTTATCACACTGTAAAATAAATAAATAAATAAATAAACGTACTAATATGTATGATAAATTTATATGTTGACAAGTATAGAAATTTGTATCTAAATAATGTTGAGTTTAAGAGATATAAAAATTTGTCGTTTTATTTATATATAGAAGTGAGATGTAAAGGAAAATAAAACAAATAAGATAATTGTTGGCTATGAATATATGGTAAAATAATGTGTATATTAGAGTGTACAAATTTATAAATTACAAAAATAAAATAAGTATCATCTGTTAAAGTGATAGTGTATATGAGAAAATTAATGTGAAAATAATAAGTTATCTATGAGAAACAACTAAAATATAGAATTTATACCATTTTTGCGTATGTTATTTATATGTACGTACCTTGTTTTCTGAATCCCTTGACATATCTGAAAATCCTTGAAAATAGCATGTTATGAAATTAAATGTTTTAGTAATATCTAAAAAAAAAACAATAGCAAATATATTTCATAAAAGGGGTAATATCAAGAATATAAAATTTATGCAACTATTGGGACTTGTTCAACAGTTATATATATATTTATTAGATATATGAGCCTAATTTCTTATTTGTTAAATAAACATTTCTAAAGTGTAAATATCATAGCTTTTAAACTAGTTTTAAATTTATGTGGGAGTTTTAAATGATGAGCTTTTCTTAACATAATGATCTCACTAAGTATTGATAAGTATAACTATTAAATATTTTTTTTAAAATATGTTTCTTCTTCCTTTTAAAAGTATGTATTTTCAAGCACTTTTAGACTCGAGCTACTATAATTTTTAAACTCTTACGATATAATGATTTAGTTAAAAAAAAAAAAAGCTATAACTTTAGATCCTAAAAATGGTGTTCGAAAACTAAGGAAAAGACGACACTCTTACGTCAAAAAAATCTGCCCAGTTATGCTGTTAAAATATATACGTTTAACCTCTCAAACTCTGAATTTTTCAATTTTAAAATCTGTACCTTTTAAATATAAAAATCTGTTCGTCAGAGCATGTTAAATTTGTATTTTTTTACTCTAGAAAAATCTGCACTGCTGGGCTGTTTAAAGCAGCAGTTTTTACACTAAAAATCTACTTAATCGAGCATGTTGAAAGCAACATTTTCACACTAAAAATCTGCAACTTCTAAGTTTGAGAATCTGCATTTTTAAAACTAAAATCTGCATTTTTGACTAAAAAAACATTTGTACTTCCCTCAACTTTAAAATCAGCACTTTTAAGCTAACAAAACCCCACTTTAAACACTTGTTTATGAAAACAATATGAAAATAAGTTCATGATAAAAGAATCATTCCTAAAGTTGAATTTCTGTAAAAGCTATGTTTTCATAGACACCAAATGTGTCAAGAAATAAATAAAACTTAGCTAAAAAAATGTCCTTCTAAACTAAATAACTATAATAAACCTAATATATAAAGGGATACGGAGGTGAATACTTTACCATCGTTCTTAGTTATTCCAAACCAAGAAAAAATAATAAAAGAAAGCATAATATAAGCACGAAACATTAATATTGAAAATGTTAGTCAAAAACAGCAACACATAAATATGAATGTAAAGGACATGAAACTTTGAAGTGAGAAGAAAGCGTTGAACACTATTGATGCGAAAATGATCTGCTAGACATGAGCATAGGCAGTTATTACTCACTTCTCTGATTTGGACAGAGATGGAGTTATATACTAAGTCCAAACGCGCTCCCGAGTGTACATGTGAAATAAATAAAAGAAGAGGATTAGAAAAAAACAAATGTTACTAGATAAGTTAGATGAGTACACTAAGTTCCTCATGTTCAATTCTAATTGAAACAAACAAAGATTCAATGATGAAATGGAAGGAAAATTACGCTATGTACAATTAATGCAAAAGTTTGAGAGAATTAAACATTTCAAATTTAAACTAACTTAACTTACAGCTTTGGGAAAGCACAAGTATTCACGTCAAAATAGGAAAAGATCATTACATTTTAAAAGGGGAGCAATCGAGTTTCTACAAGAAAATGATATCAAACATAGGGTGTGTTTGGTATGAAGGAAAATGTTTTCCATGGAAAATATTTTCCTAGAAAATGTTTTCTTAAAAAACAAGTAGATTTTGAATTTCTTTCTCATGTTTGGTTAGTGAGTAGAAAATATTTTCCTAAAATGATTTTGTATTTGATTCATCAATGAAAAATGTTTTTGAAGAATATCTTTTATTTTTATTAGAATACAAAATAATTTATGAAATTGAAAAATAATTTTTTTTGGATATTGGTGATGGGGGAGGGGGGTAGTAGGGGGGCAGAGAGAGGTGTAGGAGTGATAAAATAAAAATTTGATGTTGATAGTATTTTTAAAAAATAAAATTAATTTTTTGGGAGAGTGGAGGTGAGGGTGAGGGGGCTGGTTGGGGTGGGTAGGGGGGCTGCCCAGGGGAGGGGGGAAGGTAGGAGCTTAAAAATAAAATTTTGAAGATTTAAATATTTTTAAAAAGCAAAATTAATTTTTTGGAAAGGGGGTGGTGTTGGGGGAAGGGGGAGGGGGGAAGAGTGATCATAGATCGAATGAAAAAAATAAAATTTTGAAATTAAAAATATTTTTAAAAAATTTGATGTTTTCCCCCCAAAAAAATGTAATTTGAAATTGGAGGAGAGTTTTGGAAAATATTTTCCTTAATTTTTGAATGGAAGTCATTTTCCTTAATTTTTAGGAAAATGAGTTGATTTGAAACAAAATTTTCAAATCTTTTACCACGGCCAAACATGAGAAAATTGAAAAATATTTTCCAGAAAATATTATCTTTCATACCAAACACACTAAGACAACAAATGTTTCCAGTAGTAGACCTCCCATGCCATAAATTTCTAATATATGTTTAAACAAAATTAACACACATATAATCATGTAAGCAGGTCAAAGAGAATAACATTGACTCACTTCGAAAATTAAAACAGAGAACTAGAAAAAAATTGAGAATCGAATTGAATCACTTAGTCAAAGACTCTATATCTATCTTAAAACAAGAAGTAAAATATGAATCTAACTTGCCATGACTTGATCGTAATAACCAGCCAACACTAAACCGATTTTCATATTAGCAGCATGGATTCAATGCGAGCAAATACGAAGAAGCTTAAAGAAAGATATGGACTAAATTTTAATTGTACTAGAAGGTAAAAATTAACATCTATAATTTAAGACTTTGTTTTAACCATACCTACTATCAATAGAAGATTCTGGTTTCATAAGTGAAGCTACAATGAGGCATAATGTTAAGCTAAAGGAAACATGCAACTTGACATCAAGGTCTTCAGCAGGGAACTAATGCATAAGACATGATATAACTTCTATATTTAAACTTCATCAAATTTTTTATGAGCCAAATAAGTCCCTTTGTGCGTAGAACAAAGGGAAGAACAAAATTTGAGGAGTTTAGTAGATTCTAAATCAAATAACGATAGAGCAACTATACATCAAAGAGTTCTTTATTTTTTATAAAACGATAAGAATTCAAAGCAAAACAGGCTTGGATGATAGTCTTTTAACAGGAGAAACTAGAATAGCCAATGTGGAAGTGTAGAGGTCAAAACATTAAAAAATGTATAGAAGTTGAACTTTACTGTTAAAATTTAACAGTAGGTAATTTAGATAATTATTATTTTTTGCTTAAGAGAGGTAGACCTAACATATTCATAAATCAATACAACAAGATAGAATGCATTAGCGAAAGAGTACGAATCCGGATTATTATCAATATGTAGCGACACATAAAGTTCCTAACAAATCTCCACACAAACCAGAAGCAAGAAGTACAAAAATAAACTAATCAGCTACTTAAGAGTGACTAGATCAGCAACATACAGAACATTACAGGAAACACAAACTACCAAAACAAAACGGAGAGAAAAAGAGATCATTTTTTTTGGAACAGCAAACTAAAGCTTTGACGTCAAGATTCGACTTTGAACTCGAACTACGCCTCGAAGAACAATGAAAACAGGAGACAAAAGATAACAACCTTCAAAATCTGTTTCTCAAGATAAATTTCGAATTTGATGGATGATATCTGGATTATAATGGTTCTCTTTTATCTGTCTCTCTGTACCATTTTCTCTCTTTTTTTTCTCGTTCTTCCTCCCTTTCTTTCGTCTCTTTCTCCTCCTCTATTCTACCCCCCTTGGATGGGAAAAGGCCATCCTTTTATGGATGAAAAATAGAATCCAAAATTCAGATTTGAAAATTAAAATAATGCAGAAAAACAGAGAATTGTAACTTGATATCGAAATCAATTTTCAGATTTTGATCAGTTAGAACCTTTTTAGACCACGTAATTGAAAACATTATAAACAAAGGTCAAAGCAGAACTGTAGCAGCGTAGCGGTCTATTTTTCCTCAGAAAAAGGTGATGGGGGAAGACAAGAGACTGCCGGATATTATTGTTTTCGGCGGTCCACAGTCGTTCTTTGATGGGACGAAGAACTGACGGTCATGGGGAAGAGGAAACGCCTGGGGAAGGAGGAGAACTTGTAAGGCGATAGGGGAGTTGATTGATGTTGGAGACCGCCGAATATTGTTATTTTTCGGCGGTCCATGGCCGTTCTTGATGGGAGGGAGGCGCTTTCGGAAGAGGTGTATGGGGAAGTTGCGAATTTGGGCAAGGGAAGCGTCCTACTTCTGGAAAAGAGAAGATGAACGTTGGCTTTCTTTTCATTCTATATTGGGAAAGATGGAAAAGTCTTGATTAATTTGGGCCGTCCTAACGGACGATTAAGATAAATGAGTTGTTAAAAATAAAAGTTTATATATATATATATATATATATATATAACTCTTATAAGGACCTCATAAGCTTATAAAACACTCATAAACACATTTAACACACGTGAAGCACATAGGTGACTAGTCGTCGAACATCTTGGTCGTCCCTTGACGTTTGACTTCCAATTAACGTAATACTTTAGAAACTGCCTCATTAACACATTATAAGACATTTTAGGACCTAATAATCTCATGACAAACATGTTAGGCTCTAGTTTCTCCTAAGTCGTTTTAGAGGTATTACAATCCCCCACTTGGATAACATTCTTCCTCGAATGACACTTGCCACTCTCCAAACACTTTCAAGAGTAGAGATTCAACTAGAAACTCATAACAATACCATATAACACATTATAAAAATACAAAAATATATAATAAACATCACTTTCACATAATCAAGTTATTCATAACACAAAAAGAATCTAGAAAAGTTTTTACAACTCATTATGACATAAGGCTCACATTCTTCATTCCGAATAGATAAAACTTGTTTTATATTCACTATCATGCTCATATAAATCATTTCTAACCACATTACAACAATTTTCAACTAAATAATGATTTAGTCAATTTCTCTGAATTGTTACAGTGATCAGGTAGCTTTTTAGTGAATTATGCCACATTTTTCTAAAATGCAAATTTTAGGCAATGGATGATGGAAACATGCTAATCTGTAAGATAAAACAATCTAAACACATATTACAACATAATAGTAACATCATGAAATGCATAATGCAAGGAATCAATGAAAATTCAGTTCCAACAAGATTCCTTAACACTATGAGCATCTAGCCCATATACTAACCATACTCCCCACATAGAAGGAACTCATAACACTACAGAAATACAAGAACTTACCGTCATCATCTTCACGCACATACGATTTTGCTTCTCTAGTCCGGAGTGCATCGAAAAGATTCTTCTTTAGCGCATCACCTTTCGAAGCATTAGGACCAACTTGCTTTCCATATCTAGTAGGACAAACCCTCACTTTGTGTCAATCTTTACCACATCCAAAAAAACTCCCGGTAACCAATAAGAATTCCTAATAGTGACTCTTTCCACAAGTAGCACATGTAGGCTTCCCATTTTGAGAACCACCTCTCTTCTCAAATTTCACCTTAGCACTCCTAGGTTCATCTTGAGTTGAGACCTTCTTCTAGAACCTAGTTTGACTTTGATCACTTGAACCACTTCTTTCAAGTTTATAGTAATCATACCAAGTTCAGACTCCTCAATAGATTGATCATAAACCATGAGTCTACACAGGGTCATATCATCATGGAGAATGGTCGTACGACATTTTTCTCTCACTAGGTCGATGACCGTAGTCATAAACCTACTCATATCATCCTGAGGTTTAGACACTAAGGATTAAGCATATCTAGACAACATAGAGAATTTCAACGAGTATTCCTCAACAATCATATTACCTTGCTGGAAATTGATAAACTCCTCTACCTTCACCTTCCTCCTATCACAGGAAAAGTACATTCTAGAAAAGCATGTATAAATTCTTCCACTCAATAGGATCCGACTCAACTGGCCTATTATCTTTCCATTGAAAGTACCACACCTGATCAACCTCCCTCAATTGATATGAATATAACTTCGCCATCTCCTTAAAAGTCACCCCTATGGAACTCAACACCTTGTACACCCCATCTAGGAACTCTTAGGGATCCTCTCCAACCATAGAACTAAGAAATATAGGAGAATTCATCCTCACAAAATCTCTCAATCTAGATGTCATAGTGCTCTCCACATAATTCACTCTTTGATCAATACTTCTATTCACATGGGTAGTCAAATCTCGGGCTAAAGTAAGTAACGCCTCTCTAAACTTCCCATTAGTCATTTAGGGGGAACCACCGATACATCATTACCTCCACCCACAATAGGGACTTGATCACCTTGAGGAACTTGCTCAACTTGCTCAACTTGAGGAAGAATCTCCTCATCACATCATTCTCCTCAACTCTCATAGCTGGTTCTCCTTGTATTCATCTCCTATAACACAAGAAAAACCATAGGAAAATAATACTCATAAATTATACCTATGGCACGATATAGGAGTATAAAATTAAGGAAACTCTATCGTCCTATAGCCTGTCACTCATAGATGTGTCGCGACTCACATCTATTGTCAATACTCTACTAGATGTATTGACACTTTTTGATTACCAAAACCAATTCATAGACTATGCTCTAATACCACATTTATCATGACCAGCACATAAACCCTAGAATCTAGGGCACTCTCGGATTGCAACATGGCGTACTTGATCTCTCGGAGGTCTTGTACAAGCCCTTTCGTATCATT